TCCTGCTCATTGGAATTCTCTCTGACCTGTGAAGTGTGTCCACTCACATCTTACTCATGAGATAAAATACAAAGATAAAAGATAAAATTCCACAGCACAGGAAAACAGAAGTACAGAGGTTAGATTTGGGTTTGGTTTTTTTTTTTTAATTTGTTTGCAATGAACAATAGTAATATTGAAGAAATATTTCCCTGAAACCAATTACTTCCTCTTTAACTACTCCCTCTAAGATTTCCCCTTTCTTTTGCTCAAAAGTATACAGGAAGATTAAGTCATTTAATTGGATTTTTTTTTAAAAGGCATTCCTGCTCCTAGCTGAGTCACCAAAGGCTAAGTCTCTTAGCTTCAGGAAATTAAGATCCTTCCCTTAAGCTGATTAAATCTTCTCAGGGAAAAAGGAAAAGAACCTATATGTTCTAAAATATTTATAGCAGCTCTCTTTGTGGTGACAAAGAACTGGAAATTAAGGGGATGCCCATCAGCTGGGGAATAGCTGAACAAGTTGTGGTATGTGAATGTAATGGAATACTATTGTGCTATAAGAGATGGTGAGTGGGTTGGTTTTAGAAAAACACAGAACGACTTGCATGAAATAATGCAGAGTGAAATGAACAGAACCAAGAGAACACTGTATACAGTAACAGCAATTTTGTTCAATGAGTAACTGTGAATGATTAAGCTGTTCTGAGTGATATGAATATTCAAATCAACCACAAACGACTTATGCTATCTGTCCTTCGAGAAAGAAATTACATACGCAAGTATATATTGTATGGTTCCATATATATCTATATCAAATGTTGGCCTCCTATAGTACGGGGTTGGGAAGGGAGGGACAGAAACAACTTGGAATTCAAAACGTAACAAAAATAAATTAAATAAATATAAGGTAATTTTTAAAATGATCAATTCCTCTATTCAAGGAAGGAATATCACTTAGGTTTTTTAACCAAGCGGCACCAGGGATATCAGACCAGGACACTGTGGTAATATTTTTTTCTTACTGCTATATGTTTCCACTGTCACCTCCAAGGTCATACAGCCCATCTTCCTACCCAATGCAGATATGCCTTCTACAACATTCATTTCAATTCAACAAACATTTTTTAATGTTGACTAAAAGAGAACAAAAACAGAAAAGCAGCCAGATTGGACCAACTAAATATAGAAATCTGTACTTGAAAGTAATATTGTTTGGAGGGCATATTGAAAGATCGGTTCAAAGGAGGAGATAATGGAAAAATCTTGCATCTTATTCACAGCTAAAAAGGGTGACTGAGAGGATAGCTCCATGCCTACTTTCCCAACTGTATAAAACTTCAAATAAAAGTCAAGGGCATCTGTGATAGGGATAGGGAATAAGCAGATCTTTCTGAGTATTCATGGATGAACCACATATTTACTATTTCACAGTTGGCAGGAAAAAATGTAGAAGATATAAGATCCAGTTGGGCTTTGTCGATTTTGCAAAAAGTATTTGACTAGATTGAGCAATACACCACCTTACAGTCTTTTCTTCACACCAAGTATCTCCCACCCACACATCAAAAATCGCTCAAGAAAGCCACCACAACAGAAATAATCCTGTTTGATGACCTTCTGACCACAAACATCAGGCACCAAGGCATAAAACAGAGAGCTGTCTCCTTGCCACAGGTATTCACCATTGTGACAGACGAGATCCGGCACAGATTTCAAGTTGAAGAGAAAGCTTCCCTGGGGATGTTGAGGTCCACAAGATACTCCTGTTTGCAGATGATCTTATGCTAGTTGCATCCAGCTCTGGAATCCAGCAAAGTCTCCTGGAAAGAGAGAGCCATGACCCCTCAAAAGAGTTTTTGACGTGACCGTCCCCAAGTAGGTAAGGAATGTCAATTGCCCGAATTATGACATGAAAATGGATGGACAGCCTAGAGCTTCTCTATCAGCATGGACATGTAGGACAAACAGGACAAACGGACAGCTTGCACCCGAAATTCAACAAGAAGAAGACGGCATAGTGGCTCTTCTTGGGGAAATCATGCTCTATGGGTTGTACTCTCCCTCCATTACACTTTCTCCTAAGTTAAATACTTGCTAACCTCAGCAAATCAGCTGAGGTATATTTGGCACATATGCCCGAGGTCCTAATTCTGGAATATTCTGAGAGACTGAAGACTAGAACGCTGTCTTTTTGAGTGCGTCACGGAGCACCACACACTGAAGAGTCTTCACCAGGTACACATGGCATAGTTCTCTCTTAATGCTTTCCTTAATGCCACACCATGTCCCAGCCCAGTCAGTCCCATACCTAGAATGCACTCTGTCCTCACCACTACCTCTTAAAATCTCTAGTTTCCTTCAAAGTTCACTTCAACTGACACCTCCTACAAGAGGTCCTCCCTGAACCCTCTCAGATGCTAGCTACCATCACCACCAAATTACTCTGTATACACAAGGTGTCCCAAAAGTCTTAGTGTGGTTTTATGCTTTAATGATTAAAACTGCCCTAAGACTTTTGGGACACCCTAATTTTTGTACCTGTATATCCATCTATTTCCCCAGAGAAGACGTAAACTATTTGAGGGTAAAGTATCCCTAGTTACACAGCACAATACTTGACACTTTGTTGTTGAGTCATCTTTAGTCATATCCAACACCTAGTGACCCCATTTGGGGTTTTCTTGGCAAAGGTACTGGAGTGGTTTGCCATCTTCTTCTCCAACTCATTTATAAATGAGGAAACTGAGGCAAACAGTGTTAAGTGACTTGCCCAGGGTCACACAACTAGTAAGTGTATGAGGCCAGATTTGAACTCAGGAAGATGAGTTTTCCCAACTCTAGGCCCAGCACTCTGTCCACTGCACCACCAGTGCCGGGCACTGAATAGGTGCTTAATAAAGATTTGCCAATTGATATTTTGATTACAAATAGGATGCCAAATTTAACCAAAACCTTTATCACCCATCTCTTTTGAAAGTTATACTCAGACAAATGAGATAAGCAGAAAATGCCAAGCCTTCATAAACCATTCCAGTGATTTGTGGTTTTATTTTCGTAGCCATATTAATGAACTATGCTAGTCCAATCAGCTGATTTAGTTTTTCAGAAGTAATTGAAATGACTAGGCCACAGCATTACTCTGCCTGGTGGCATAAATTTCAGATTTCTAGTTCCCAAGCCAAACTTTGCAAAGAGCCCCCCAAGAAAACTCCCTGTACCTTAAGACTCTCTCCTCTAATTTCTGTAGGTCTCCAATTACTGTAAGTGCTATTTCTATAAAAGCTACACTTAAGACAATATTTTTTAAAAATCTGCTCACGTGGCTAATTTTTCATACAAGATAGACATGGCCAGCCCTTGCCTCTTCTTTACAACAGAGAAATTAAGAAACACCCTGGGCTTTTATTAACATTCTATGCTAATAAAATATTCATCTTTGAGAATTTGTCTTCCTTTGTGAATACACAGCCAACTCTAAAATTTCATTTTCTCTTTGGAGAAGACAATACTTAAGGGTGTCTTTCTTTAAACCACGGAAAAAACCTTTTGGCATTTCTCCAACACACACAGTTTTTTTTTTTAATTTAAATTTTTAACTTTATCTCAAAGACTAGATCCTTATCTTCTTCCTTGTATAAGGGAGCTGATCAGTGACCAGTCCCACCTTCACCCCTTATCCCCACTCCCAGCCTAGAAAGCCCAGAATATAATCATAAGGTGTTTATAGCTATAAATATTCCTCTGAGCTCAGGTCCCTTTGGGGTATGTGAAGACAACTTTCTCTAGTGTAATCCACCAATGGAAGAGAGATGCTTTAAATACCTAAGCCCTGGGAACAGAGTTCAGTACCAAAGGAGTCAGGGTTCAGGAGCACTTTTGTGGTTGGGGGTGGGGAGAGTGGGAGGAAAAGAAGCAATTTCTTTCTCTTCCTTCCATCCCATTGGTCATGGTGTCTAGAAGTTGCCTAGACACTGATACCCTGTCTAGCAGTTACAGAGAGTTGGTCTGAAAGTATTCTATGGCCAGCAGAGGGAACAAAGACCCCCACTCCAGACAGACATAGATTCATAGAGGCAATCACCTGAGGGAGAAGACATGACCCATGGCATCAGAGAGAAGAGTCAGCTCTGGACTGGAGAGCTAGCCTCACCAACTGAAAGCTGGGCCACAGAGAGGATTTCTGGAGTTGTGAGTGATCTCAGCATTTCCCACATGTATCCTAAGTTGTATTCACCTTTTCCATTCCCCCACCCTGATTGATTCTTTTTTGAAGGCAAACTAGACCATCTTTTGCCTCCCTTCTTACTTAGCGCTTAACTACTGAATGGGTGTTGCCTCAGACAAACTGAGACCTGCCAAAGACGCCAGTTCTAGAAAGCCAAGGTCTCCTACTGCATCTGGGGCCATTGCCAGTCATCCTGACCTATGTCTTGCCACTGGACTCCAACAGCTCTGGAGGAAAGAGTGAGGCTGATGACTGCACAGTCCTGCCTCACTTAAATCCAATTCACTTGCAAGTCAAGACACCAAGAATAAAAGAAAACCAACAGCCAACATGTGTGTTTGTGGAAGAACACATACCCAGCGTCTGGGAAGAAATATTTCATAGTTACTTTGTTCTACTATCTATCATCTTATTAAATATCTTAGCTGGGAACTAATTCTATCTACTGGCTGACTGTTACTGGGAAACATAGTAGCAGTTTCTCATGTTAGCAAAAGGTAACCACAGTGTTAATCCTAGAACCCAAAGAAGCAATCACCTACTGGGGACCCAACCCACAGGTTTGAAAGCAAATTGAAGGAGTAGCCAGGAGGGTGTATTACTCTTGAACGTGTTTTCTCATAATCTCTTTTCTCTCTCTCTTCTCTCACGTTTTCCTTAATAATTTTCCCCCCTGGTGGGGATGGAGGGGTAGCACCAGAAGACTTTGTAATCATGAAAGAACTATATTTCTTTTTTTTTCTTTTTTTCGCAAACGAGCCTCCACATGCTATATTGTTTATTCTTCTCCAAGCTCACCAACGATGAAGAAATCCATAATGTGGGCACCTCCCTAACTTTTGGGTTTGGGACACTGGTTTGTTGGATTCAGGCCGCTCTGACACTCAAAGTCAACATCAAGAATGAGGGTCGGAAGATTGGGATTCCCAGAGTGATTCTAGCAGCATCCATAACTCTCTGTGTGGTCCTCTGTATCCTTTGAATAGAAAAAAGGTTTTGTTTTTGTTTTTCCTTTAGGGACGTTAGAATACAAAGCAAACATAGTTATCTATCTAGATATTTAGGACATTCCCTTCACAGCAGTCTACTCCACCAAACCCTCAACAAAGAAGAGGTTTGCTTTGTTTCTGTTTCTTATCATCAGCTTTATCAGACTCCAAAGGAGATGATGAGTTAGAATATAAGCTGTGGCTTTCCAGAACCGTTTTAGAGTTTATTTATGAGAACCGGGTAATTCCTTCTCCTCAAAACAAAGATAGTAGATTTCTCCCCTTTTGGAAAAAAATTAAAAAACAAAAAAAAACAAAATTTTTTTCTCTTAAAAAATTCCATTAATGTACTAGTGCATGATTCAATTGTTTCATTTAATAAATTATCCACTAAGAGGTTCAAAAGCAAGCAAATTTATATCTTTCAGAAAAAAGTAATTAAGTTATTCTAAGAAGTGAACTCACGAAGCACATGGTACATTGAGCCATCCCAGATAGAATGAACAATTAATACCATACAGTATGTGTGGTAGCAATTTGTTTAGCAAAAACAACAAAATCAACTTTTGTTACTCAGAGACTGATTTTTCCAGTTTGTGAATTTTCACTTCTCTTTTCTCTGACCACCTGCCCTTTGCCCATCTCACTAATCAATCATCTGCATCCTTTCCTAGTCAAATGGACCAGAGGATGTTAAAGGAACTGAAACTTAAATCAGCCATATTTGCTCATTTGCATCTTGATTTAAAAAATTAAGTTGATAGTTTAGAGGTTAAAGCTCTTTGTTAAAGAGTTTGCTACTTTGTTGCAAAAGCTAAATAGGAGAGGGAGAGAAGATATAGGAATATTCTGGCTTGGGAGAGCTGATTGTTAAATTTTCAGTGTGAACATTTCCCCCTCAGAAATCAGTAAACACCTCAAATGATTTTTGTTTTGATGATTGTCCAGACTTAAGAAAATGATAGAGAAAATGTTCATAATGAAAATTAAGCTTAAACATGTGTTGTGTTTTTCCGAGGGCTAGCTGTCAAACATTTACCAGGACACCCTCGGAGAAAGGGCCATTTCTAATTATCTGCAGATTTTCGTGGTCTAAGCTCTCTGGTGCGAAATTAGCATAAAGGTCTTAGCGATATTTACAACATCTGGACACTTCATCAGTAGAGCAATGGGAAGGCTTCAGAGGGTGTAGAGTATTGAGACCATTATTCTCAATTCCATCTGAGTCCTAAAAAGCTGTTTATTAGAAGCTCTCCATAACAGTAAGAATCCTCTCATTAACCCAAGGTGGTGGATAGACCCAGATATGCCAACTCAGACCCATGTGGTTCTGCCTGTTCTGTTGCCATTTAGGAATGCCACAGAGAACTGTTTTTCCCCTTTTGGTACCCAGAACCAAGAGAAGGAAGTACAGAGCCAGTGGTTTCCATCCTGTTAAATGTTGATATTAAGTATAATCTTGGAAAAGAACAAATTTACAAGCGCTTGCCTTGATTTAAAAAAAAAAAAATACCCCTCCTTGTTTCTTTTGTGAAAGTCTGCTGTGAACACACAAATGAATACCAATGACATTTGGGACTTTCAGTAAACCAATTACTTCATAATCTAATGGGCAGCATTGACTGCTGCTGAGTAAGCTCAAAGTACAACTTCCCTTTCTGTTAAATCCTTCTCCCTAAAAATTCCCACCCCAACAAATATTGTGGAAAGTAATAGATCAGAAGGGTCTCAACTCTTTTTTTTTTCATAGTTCGTTGCAAAGAAGGGTGAAAGTGGCCCTTGAAGAATAAAGGTGTATTCTCTGCTTCTGAATAGGAGAGGGGCCGTTCCTAACTTGGAGTGGGACAGCTGACAGCATTTCCAGGTTTGGCTTGAGACTCGTTACACCCAAAATAGTTTCAGAAATGTCTCTTCCCCCCACCCCAGACCTTTAAGTCACTTCACTGCTGTCTCAATTTCTTGTTTAATTGCTTTTCAGTTGTGTCTGACCCTCCATGACCCCATTTGGGGTTTTCTTGGCAAAGACATTGGAGTAGTTTGTCATTTCCTTCCCCATCTCATTTTACAGGTGAGGAAACTGAGGCAAACAGGGTTAAGTGACTTGCCCAGGATCACACAGCTAGTAAGTGTCTGAGGCCAGGTTTGAACTCAGGAAGATGAGTCTTCTTTACTCCAGGACTAGCACCCTATCTACCGTGCCACCAAGCTGCCCCTGCCTCAATTTCCTCAACCATAAAATGGAAATAAAAATCAGCACCTACCTCCCAGAGTTGTTGTGAGGATCAAATGAGATATTTGTAAAGCACTTAGCATGGTACCTAGCACATAGTAGGTGTTTAATAGATGCTTATTCTGTTACCCTTCCTTTTCCCTGTTTGTGAAAGGCTTAATTGATCTCATGGAGTACTTTAGGTATTATTCAGGTCAGTCTATCAGACTGGAATGAAGGCTTTACTTTGGAAAGGGAGGTTGAAAAACGACCTGTCTTTAAAGTGTCCGCTGACAATTCCCAGTGTGTTTTTCTTGACTTTTCCCCTTCTCCCAGATTTTATTCTCATGGCCCAAGAAATCCACATGCATGCGGCCCGGATTCAGTGGGGCCTAGTGATGTGCTTTCTCTGTTACTTCGGCACCTTCGCCGTGGAGTTTCGACATTACCGTTACGAGATCGTCTGCTCCGAATACCAGGAGAATTTCCTGAGTTTCTCTGAAAGCCTATCAGAAGCATCTGAGTATCAAACCGACCAGGTGTAATTTGACTTCCTTTGACCTCGTTGGTGACAGTGGGAGAGGGGGTTAGCGACTGACACAGGCAAAGAATGGCACATACGACTTCATGACACACACACACACACACACACACACCCCCGTCTGTTCACAGTTACTATCACTAGAGGGTCCTCTTTTCAGGGTGGATTGTTTCTTTAAAGGGGAAAATAAAAGCACAAACCCCTATATGAAGACATGGATGGAAGCTCTTGCATCTTTAATACAACAGACCAAGAAGTTTGTGCAAGACCATGTGTCTTTCCCCCTTTGCCTGTCCCCTTTTCCCAGCCCTCCCCACTCCCCTCTCCTCCTTGCCTATTATGACTTCACCATTCACACCCTTTACTGTTAAGTAGGGTCACTCAAAAGGGGAATGACAAAGCCACCAACTCCCTAAATCTTGCTTCGGGTCTAAGGAGGATTGGAACAAGCCACTCAAAGTCTTCAGTTCAGACCCGGATGATCTTCATAATGGATGATGGATGGAAACGATCCAAAGAACAGTGCCCAGGCGTAGGGGGGTTGGGGGAGGTGGGGGAGGGAATTCCCCAAGCACTGAGCCCGTATCTCATCCACCACCCACTTCATTGTGACAAAGATGGGGCCATGTGTGTTCCAATGAAAAATTGTGTTACATAATTTTAGAGAGAAAATCTACTAGGATGGATTACAGAACTACCATTCACAAGAAACAAGATGAAGATGTGGTTTCATTTTTAAATGTGCTTCCTATAGTCTGTCCTGGACGATAGCTTTTGTTTGCTTCTCTGCATCCCCAAAATTGCCTCTTTGTATTACTTCGGATCCCACGGACAGAAACGGATCTTAATATACAGATGTCTGCCTTGTATTGGACCCAACCATAATGAGGTCAGATTATTATCCGCTGAAGGCTTAATTTACTGGGTGGGGTTTGTTTTTGTTTTGTTTTGTTTTGTTTTTCCATTAGAAGAAGCTAAGATGACATATAGGAAAAGATAAGAGAAGGACCCAAAAAGAGCTGGAAGCTGTCTCAGACAAGCCATTTATGAAAAGGCAAACATTAGGTTATCTTAGCGCAAGATTGAAAGCCAGAGAGTTCCACTCTTTCAAAGAAGCCCACGAATGCCGAGACTCTGTTTCTTATTCTTGGTGGCCCGGCATCCCACAGACTTGTGGCTCCTGGAGTATAGAGGCAGCCACAACTCAAACACATCACCCATCTATGCCTGCCCTTTGTCCTAGAGAACCCCTGGTCAGCTCCTAGGAGCTGTGGGATTTCACAGAACTACACTTTTAAAAACCATTATTTTGGATCCAGTGAAGGAAACGTCAGGAAAAACCATTAAAAAATAAAACAAAAACCAATGAATGAGATTTTTTAAGCATGGTGGAACAACTGTCACCCATATGAGGTGCAGGAATAAAGGTAATTGTGAATGGGGTAAAAAATTAATCTAGAGAAAAGTGAATTTGGCTCCAAGTCAGCAAGCATAAGCAGGAAAAAGTTCAAGCAAAGAATAATCTTTTTATTAAAAGGGCATCTACTTGTAAATAGTCCAAGCCAAGGTAACATTTATTCTTTTTAAAAAGGAAAAAAAAAACCTGTTTTTGTTTTTATCATTTTTATATGGTAAAATTTTATCAAAGAAAAACATGAGGGTTTGTGATGATTTCTTTTACTTTCCACAAGTAAAAACCAAGCTGCTGACTTTGGATGGTGGGATATTGCTCTATGCTCATGGGAGTCTGTCTAATGGTGCCCTCTGGCAAAGCTAAGCAATTACCAATATCACACACAGGGTCAGGAATGCTAAATAAAGTGCTTTTATGACGAAATATGCATTGTTTTTCCCTTCCTCGTGACTCACACCTCCTTTGGAAAGGGAGTGAGATTTTGATGGACCCTCCCTAACAAAACAAACTACAGCAATTCAAAACTAATGCAAAGACCAAGTTTACCCCAGGATTAAGGGAGATGGACAACCTTGGTCCAGAAGATGGAGTCCACCAGGTATGAGTGAAAGGCCACAGAACTGAAGACCCTTGAAGGTGAAGGGAGTTGGGCACTGCCTTGCTTAGGAAAGAAACGACTACTAAGAAACTATGAAAATATAGTGGGATCTGGGGCAGCTAGGGGGTGCAATGGATAGAAGGCAGAATTGGGAGTCAGGAAGACCCGAGTTCAAATTAAGCCTCAGAGATCTCCTAGCTGTATGACCCAGTCTGTCTGCCTCAGTTTCCTTGTCAGAGGGGCCTGAAGGCAACAGCTTTCTGACCTCTGGTTACTCGGGGGGAGGGGGGGGGTCTGGACACCTGCCACAATTTTGAACACAGAAATTCCAGGGGAGGTGGAAAGCCTGATCATTCCATCCAAGAGTATGGGAGAAGTAGGAGCCTCGCTCTGTCATGGTCTGAATTCAGAAACTAAGATTGGAGATATGAATAAACAGATAATAAATACCACAGGTGACTTGGGTCAACCAAAAGGTGAAGCCTTTTCATATCTCACCACAGACACTTAGTAGCTGTGTGACCCTAGGCAAGTCATTTAACCCTGATTGCCTCCAAAAGAAAAAAGAAAAAAAAAAGGTAAAGTCTTTTAAGAAGAGTTATTTCAAAAGAAATAAAAGCAAAGCCTCAGGGGGAAAAATATATAACTTGATCACTCCAAGAGTAGCTGAAATAAATAAATAAGAGATTTTTTTAAATGAAATTTTAAATGAAATAAAAGCACAAAAAAAGAACAAAAGATGGGAAAACCTTACCCAAGTAGCAGACTGTATGAAAATTGAAACTGAGAAATCAGAATTCAGTGACTCCATAAAAAAACAAGACATGGCAGAATGAATAATAATGATAGCTAACATCTATTTAACACTTCTTATGGGCCAGGCACATTTAAGGCCATTTAAGAAAATCATACTTTTATTGTAGAAATTGGAGAAGCCTCCAGTAGGTAGAGAAGGAAAGCATTTAGTAAGCGCCTACCGTATGATGTACCACCTACTAAGTGCTTTACGATTATCATCTTATTTGATCCTCAAACCAACCCTTCGAGGTAAGTGCTACTCTTATCCCCATTTTATAGATGAGGAAACTGGGGCAAGTTAAGTGATTTGTCCAGGGTCACACAGATAGTACGTGTCTGGGGCCATATTTGAACTCAGGAAGAAAATGTAAGGTATCTACTTCCAGAAACAACTGACCTGTAGAAGGCGGCAAGGACAGAGTTTCAAAATTACGAACTACAGGGAAAGCATGACTCTACCAAAAAGCTGGATATTATACTTCAAGAAATCTTAAGTAAAAAATTGCCCAGAACTATTAGAACCAGACTGAAAGAATCCACCAGTTGCCTCCTGAAACTCCACATTGAAAAATCTCAGGAATGTAAAAAATTACAGGGCCTGGAGTCAGGAAAAAACTGTGTTCAAATCCAGCTTCAGACACTAGTTCTGTAAAGCTGGGCAAGTTACTCAAACTCTGTCTGCCTCAGTTTCCTCAACTGTAAAATGAAAATAATAATAGCACCTACCTCACAGGTTGTTTTGAGGATCAAATGAAATAATATTTGTAAAGCACATAGCACAGTGCCTGGTACGCCATACAGTAGGTGCTTACTAAATACTTCTCTTTTCTACCTACTGGAGGCTTCTCTAATTTCTACAATAAAAATCTGATTTTCTTAGAGGAGTTGCATGAAAATATGCACATGAAGGAAGTCCTGGTGTGGAAAAATCTCTCCACTAAAGCAGATCAGCAACTCATCTGAAAGTTAGTCTTAGAGGGCTGTCGGGGGCACCAGAAGATCAGCTAGCTCTGCCAGGGTCATAGAGATAGTATCAGAGGTGAGATTTGAATCCCATTTTCTCCTGAATCCAAGTCTAGGGAGGGTTCTTTTCAATACTCCATAAAGGCAAGAAGTGAATAACACAATAAAACCATGGCAAAAACGAAGTTGTTGTTTGTCCTTCGTTTTCTAGTATTCATTTTTTTTTTCTTTTTTGGTGAGGCAATTGGGGTTAAGTGACTTGCCCAGGATCACACAGCTAGTAAGTGTCAAGTTCTGAGGCCAGTTTTGAACTCAGGTCCTCCTGACTCCAAGGACAGAGTTCTATCCACTGCAACACCAAGCTGCCCCTTGTCCTTCATTTTTTTTTTTAGGCAATTGGGGTTAAGTGACTTGCCCAGGGTCACACAGCTAGTAAGGGTCAAGTGTTTGATCTGAGGTCATATTTGAACTCAGGCCCTCCTGACTTCAGGGCCGGTGCTCTACGCACTGCGCCACCAAGCTGCCCCTGTACTTCGTTTTCAAAGAGGATCAATGACATCACGATGTTGGGGTCAGGGTACAGTGCTTTTGGCTGTGGCAGATCAGGCTGACATGAGCTTGAAGGGTCTCCCGCAGATGAGGCACAAGTAGTCCTTTAGGACACCTGGGATGGCGGTGTCTCTGGATGTGCACAGCTCACGCTTCCTTGTGCAGTGATTGTGCTCTGCTCATACAGCACACAGCACCTTCTTTGACGCCTGGGCCAGTGTCTCCCATATCTCACAACTGATAATGAAGTTCTTCAGAGAGTCCTGGAGAGCTCTCAGAGTCGAAAACTTGTAGGGGAATCCAGCAACCTACACACACACACACACACACACATGCACACGCGCGCGCGCGCACGCGCACACACACACACACACACACGAGATATATCTCATTGTTATCAAGTGTCACTCATCTCCTTAGGAGAGGAAGGAGAACTCAGGTGGAAGTCTGTCTGCCTTCTTTCATTTTGGTTTCCTCCAACAAATTAAAATGGTGGGCATCCAGCAGCCCTGAAATCTAAAGGGTGACTGAAAAAGTAAGGATGAAGTAAGACAGCAATTGTCCTATCACTTAGACCATAGAAAATTTACCTTCCGCCCCAAACACTGCCTGTTCATGGCATTTTGGGAACATGGTAATCCAGCCACGTTTCAGAGAACTGCTTTCTGTGTTTTAAAGGATGTAAGAGAGAAATAAGGGCATGGAATTTGGAGAATTTTTCTTTTTTTTTTAAGGCAATTGGGGTTAAGTGACTTGCCCAGGGTCACATAGCTAGTAAATGTCAAGTGTTTGGTCTGAGGCTGGATTTGAACTCAGGTCCTCCTGACTTCAGGGCCGGTGCTCTCTCCACTGTGCCACCTAGCTGCCCCAGAATTTTTCTTTAATATCATTACTTATACATAAATTTCAACAGTCCCAAATACTTCCATCCAAAAGCCAGTGCTGGCACCTGGGTCTCTATTGCTTCTGTCTAATTAGGGAAAAATCCAATTAGCCTGAACTGCCTTCAAAGGAAAATGGCCCCAGAGCATTCTACCATACTATGTGAGATAGACTTAGGGACACAGGGCCACACTAAACTCATTTAGATTTGGGGAAGGTATTACTAATGGCAGGTGGAGCAATGAGGTCCCTACCAAACTCCATCGGGGGTCTTTTGAGGGGGTAAGAAACCAGGAGATTGCCCTACTGTGTAAGTCAGAGGATAAGATTGCCCTCTTTTTTCAAAGCATTACCTAGACTCTTATTCTGTGTTCAAATTAAATTATAATAATAACTAGCATTTACATAGTTTTCTAAGGTTTGTCGCTTTGTAAACATTCTCTCGTTTAATCCTCACAACCCTGGGAGAGGTAGGTGTTAATACACCCATTTTACAAATGGGGAAATAGAGGCAGAGGTTAAATGACTTGCTCAGGGTCATGCAGCTTAACATAAGTGTCTGAGGGGAGACTAGAACTCCAGCTTCCTGACTCCAAGCCCAGAATTCCATCCATGGTCTAACCACCCATTAGCTGCCTCAGTTCCCTTTCTTTACTGATATTCATTATTTCTCTTCGGTATATTTCCTCCCCTTTGGGAAGGAACAAAAAATACCCTTTTCAAGTAAAAAATTTGAAACTCTTGAGATGTTTTCAAAACAGGAGCACTTTGCTTATCTAATAATAACCTTAAGAAATTCTATTTCAATAACTGATAGGACACATGCAAAGGACTCCTAATATATAGTGGTATTAGAAAAAATCAAACATCAGAGATGTTTCAATAAAAGCCAGGTGATGCAATGGGGAGCATGTGAAATTTAAATGTGAAGAAGACCTCCATTCAAATTCCAGTCTTTTCTCAGACACTTACTAGCTGTGTGATCTTGGACAAGTAACTTAACCCCTGTTTGCCTCAGTTTCCTCATCTGTAAAGTGAGGATAAAAATAGCACCTATGTCCCAGGATAGTTGTGAAGATTAAATGAGATATTTATAAAACAGTATGTAAATGCTATTATTATAAAAATAGTTTTGATGGACTTTCAAGTCAACAAACATTTACTAACTGCAAGACATTATGCTGAGTGCTGGGGATATAGAATAGGGCAAAGAGAAAACCACCCCTGCTTTCAAAGAGCTTACATTCTAGAGAAATGTATAATCTCTGCCCCAACCTCTCCCACCCTTCAGCGATGCATCACCATGTGTGCATCTGAAAGGCAATCAATATGCGACCAAGAATCTCTTCTACCTTGAGTAAATGTGAAGAATCCGTATTTTAGAGCTTATAAAATCCAAACTCCTCACATTGGCCACAATATTAATATTTGTGAAGGATTCATTAACACAACAGGTATCAGTACTGCAACAATCAATTATGCAAAAGTTACTTCCCAAAAAAGGAACTTGTCTGTCTTGTACAAGAAAGTGCACACACACACACACACACACACACACACATGTACGTTACACTCTTGGTGCAGTTTTAAGCTTTTAACATCAGAAAATGACACCAAGACTTTTGGGACACCATACTTAATATATGGATGCCTATAAACACATACAAATAGGAAGACAGATAGGTAGTTGCCAACTTTCCTGAAAACTCAGTAACTAGATACTTACCCCAACTTTTGCCCCACTAAGTTAGGTTCCCAGAGGCTGTCTACATCTCTCTCTCTCTCCCTCTCAGGGTTTTAGGGATACCCCTGAGGATCTGTGGGTATCTTGTCAGTCTGAGGCCCCTTTGGTGTGTTCTCTCCAATATCACCAAGTAACTTCTTTAGTATCATCTAACCAGCACTGCTTAATCTCAGTATCCTCTATACCTTTGATTAGCACCCCCATATCACTTCACCAATTAACACCAATTAGTTTTTACCAAAGATTTGTAGAGAAGATAGAGCAAAACCAAGTTACAAAACATTTACGTCTTCACCAAGAGGCATACTCACTCTCTTCTCTGTACCACCTTGGTCCCAGGGAGAGAAGTCTGTGACCAAAACATAAAAATCTTGGTTTTTCTATATACATTTGCTATTTCTTAACACCTAACAAAGGATTGCACTGTGGTCTAAAGTCCCATTTCAGTTCCACAACTGCCCAATCTTGGTGTCTGTTCAGGAGTCCTGCCAGAATTTTGCCAGCTGTACAGAGCCAAGATGGCATTACAGCTGTTGGCTGACCATCTTACCTTTCTTCATGAAGAAGCTGATAACACTGACAACTGATTTGTGAACCAAAAAGCAGTCTGCGATTTGCTAAAATGCTCATAGAATGAAATTAAAATAAGATCCTAGGGTCCACTGCAGTGTTTTCCATTATGGTCAATAATAGTGCAGAGAATTCAAGTGTGTGGGGCGAGCTTTGGGTGACTCAGAAGGAAAGATGGACTGGACATTTTGGCAACTAAAGTTATTTGAAGTGGTGGCAGAGGCTCTGTACTAATCTGTAAGACTGTAGCCAAAACCATGTCTAAAAATGAGACTGAAGCTAAAAACTTTGACCAACTTGTAATTAAAATCTGCAAGGAAACTGAAAACATTTTCTATCACTATAATGGGAATAAACAGACATCCAAAAACTACTATGAAGGCGGGAGGTGGGGAAGATAGGGAGTAGTCGTGTAGGCAAAGAATTGTGTTTAACATTATGCCAAAATGTGTTAATTTGCCATTATATTACAAGCATTTTCCTGGGCAGACTTTTAAAATAGCCCAAATTTCACAAAAATTGTCATTTTTAGATAAATGAGCTATAATTCCTTAAGTTTCTTCCTTTCCTTTCTCCCAATGCCACTTCCTGAATCTGTCTCAATAAGGCAGCTCTGTTCACCCAACAGTAGCACCACACTTGCCACAGAGGTAGTAGTTACAAATTCGTTTCAACAATCTTTACTCCACACAATCTTAATGTGAACACCAGTGAGACTTCACTACTCCAAGACCTCAGAGAGCCATCAGATTCCCATGTCATTCCCCCACTCCACCCTCAATCTCCAAAGCCAGGCAAGAACTGTTTTAAACTGGGGATAGTTTACTGCACCTTGGAATATTACCGCTGGTAGGAGACATTGGCTTGTGGCTGGTCTGGCCATGCTCCCATGTTTGGCAGTAAGACTTTCTGTGGGATTTGACATCCCAAAGCTATCAAGTTTTAACTAGTGTTTGAATATGAACTTTTTTTGTAATTGTTTTAAAAAAAAAAAAAGGGGATGCCATGAAAAATCAATTGTCTTTATGGAAGAGTCTCCAAAAGCTGGCCTCTTCCTCGGCCATTCTCTCTTGTTTGAGCTGGACATTGTCTTTTTTTTCTTCTTTAATTCTAGACTCATTAACTTCTTTCTTAATCAAATACTTCTCCTTACCCCATCCAAACCAAGTTCCCCAACCTTCATATTTAAAGACAGATTTCCTCGATATTTAGGGAACGTTCGTCCCTCTCACATCTCCTTTTCTTAAGGAACTTGCTTCGGCTAAATTGCATTAAGAATCGAGCCTTAATCTGACTTGTAAGTCACCCACAAACGCTCTCCCCCATTGCTTTGTTGTGAGATGGTGTAGATGCTCAGTTCTTACAGCCAGCAGGGAGCATATACTCCAGCAGGTCCACGAGCCATAACAGCTCCGGCCTAAGGTCTGATGAGGATGCTTCATTTGGGGGAGGGTCATCAGCACACTGACCATAGGCTAGGCAATTTTCCAGCCATAGCAACTCCTCCAAACCGTTTACTAAACAACCTTGGGGTGGAGACCCTGAACCAATGAAATCCCACATTACCAAAGGGTCCAAGAATGTAAGTTCTCCGATTTTGAAAAATTGAGAATTTTTCTCTTTTCGGTCCAGACCTACAATTTAATTAGTGTGGACAACTTCCTTCAGAGAATCTCTCTCCAACAAAGTGGATTAAATATCATCTGTAACATAGTACCGAGAGACTCATGCGGGTAAACTGCACACTGACAGGTGACCTACCCAGTGCTACAACACAGCCAGAAATGTGCGGGAGGCAAGCCTCTCTGACCCTTGGGAGAGCTGCCAATCTATTCTGGCCTCCTATTTGTTTCATTAGTCACTCGAGGGCATCTGTATGTACTGTCTGGCACGATAAGAATTGGGACAGCAAAGGACGTCAACCAATCAGCCCCTAGGGTCATAAATAAACGACCAGGGGAAATTGGTTTTTATTAATCACAACATGAAGTATCACAGGAACACGCATATCAGAACCGAACTGGGATAAATAGTACTTCTACAGTTTACATTTCTTCTTTAACAGTTCTGAGGGAAAGGGATCCTTTACAAGGTATTCTCGATCTGAGGGATGACATGCCACGCACTCAAGCCTTGGAGGACACTGATAAGCAGCACCAAGCTTTCCTGGAGTTAGAGGTTAAAACCACATTTTGATTTCGCACCTGGACAACAGGTAAGGTTATTAAGGGCCGCTGTCAGAGCCATGGAATCACAAGCTATGTCCTAACAACAACATCAGCACCTGGCTAGTCAAGGCCTGGGAGCGATTTTCATTCTTAGTTTTCTTCTTCTTCTTCACTAGATGCTAACAACAGACTTCTGGCCTTCTTGTAGGCAAGGCTGGCTACACTTTGGTCACCTAAGTGTTTGCTCCCATCACCATAAAGAGGATGCTTGCTGTAGAAAGGTTCTAAAATCATTAGCAAGTCTGCATGGAATGGTTTTAGGATCGTGAAGTTTTAGAATGACTTTTCCAAATTAGCTTTCCACTTAGTAAAGAACCAGCTACAGCAGGCTGACAAATACATCTTCCTTTTTTCAGTAATTTTACCCACTGTGCTTAGCAAATGCCACCCCACAGGGGAGCAAATACTTTAGTGATGCAGCCTCTCAATAACTCCCGTATCTTCATAATTTTCTTAAAATAGGCCTTCATTTTACTGAATTAAAACTCCCCTTTCCCTCTCCTTTAGGGACCCCTGGGGAAGGCGATCTGAACATGTGATTTTCTGCAGATGTGTGACTTTATCAGTAGGATAAACCTAGAAAACAAGAGCAGAGGTACAATTCTGAGAAGTAGTTTTGATCTCTCTTCAAAAAACAAGAAAACCTCTTCCTCTAAGTTGACGAAGGCAAGAACAGTTCATTGAAAGAAGTGATGAGGTTGAAATAGGATTTTTCATCATCCGTCAATCCCGCATTGCCGGGCCTCACTACCACCGCCACATGGACATCCGCCTCTTCCGCCGCGTTGGCCTCTGGGGAAACAAAACGGGACCAGACCTTCCTTAAAACAGAGGAGCAGACACTCAGACTCAGCTGTGCCTGAGCAATGTCACCATTCAGATGAGGCTACTTAGCATCACTCGGCGACTGCACACAAGTGAGAAGGGGCCCTCTGTCATCCTGACAAATGAAAACAAGATGATTCCACCCTTCTTGCGGCTCACCCCACGTACAAAAACGAGGACAGGATGTCGTGAATGGATCTGGGACAAATGCTCAGGGGAACCTCGGCTTTAGGTGGAGGCAATTTGGTACCAAACCTTGTTCTTCTGCTAACTCTTCAAACAGGCCACATTCTCCCACAAATAAATGGGCTTCACAGATCTCAAACCACCCACTGGGCTCTCCACCCCTCCCCCCAACCCCAAATCAACTCTTCCTGGCAGTAAGAGCCAGGCGCGTGCATTCTCAGGCCTGGCACTACAATACTAGAAGCAGGATCTGCTGCAAAACTCATCATCTGTGACCTCTTTCCCCCAAGCTCCTAGCTGGGTACAACCACAGCAAACTTGAAAAGCATCTGGGCAGCCTGGTGAAGTGAAGCAAGCTGTGGACTGGGGCGGAGATCACAATGACCCCGCCAAGTGCTGAGGAGGTAAAGAGTGAAACAGGCAACAAATGCATAAATCTCTGTGGATCCATGGAAGTCCAGAAGACCCGGGCAGGACCTTCCTTCATGCAAGACATAAAACCTTGGGACTTGATCTCGAAGCTTCCAAACATGTTCTGGGAGAATACAGCATTAAAACACCCGAACTGTTGTACTCGGACAAAGAGCTGTCTTAGATGCTTATCTGCGATCTAGGGATCCTGTTGTTTTCAACAAAATCTAAAACCCATGGGCCTTCGAAAATTTCACCTAAAGTATTCGTAAGACTTAAAGGAAAAAAGGAGGCCAGGAAAGAGAAATGTTCAGGGGAATAATTTAATGGGCATTTAACACATTTTCAATTCAATAAATATTAAACATACAGAATGCTGCTAGGTGATGGATAAACAAAGATGGAGTACACTGCCCATGTGGCTAAAAGGATATTACATTGTAAAGAGGGAAAGAAGTATAAAGTAGAAAGTGATATGGACAAAGGATCTGCTCACAGCTCGTGGGAAAAGCTAGAGAGGGTCTGGGCCCCAATGAGCCACATATGGCATGGTGACCTCTCTCTCGCTCTCATTATCTGACCTCACTTGGGGTGGGGGGAGGAGAGTGGGCTACTGGGAATCCCTTATTGATCTAAACTGTTATTTGCTCTACTTGTCCATCCGCAGAGGGCAGGGCATTGTGGTCTAAGTGAAGAAGAGGGTCTACACGCTGAGAGCACACTGAACCAGAAAGCCTGCTCTGAGCACCCTAAAGAAGCCAGTAACCTGAAGCTTGGGAAAAGTGGCCATTTACTGCTGTTGTCTTTTTCTTAATCCACGTCTGATTTCAATCCAAAAGTGTCTTAGGAACTGATAGAATTAGAGCTGAAGTGACCTTAAGGGTCATCCAGTCCATTTGTAAGTGACTTGGACAAGTAAAATGATCCAAGCCAACACCAGCAGCCCAGGCCAGCCACATTTAGGAGAACCCCCTTCCTTCTCTTAAGAAAACTGAAAAAGTTAAGGGCCTTTAAATTCCCATTCCCTGAATGAACCACTTCGATTCCCCCAATCCAACACGTAATTAAAGATAAATCAAGATTTTTCCTAATCCAAGCACACGGAACATTCAGGAACGAAAGTGAATGGCAGTTAGGTATCGGTGAAAGAAATTAAACAAATTCAAAGTGCAATCTACAAGTCAATGCTGGAGGTGGAGCCAAGATGGCAGTGGGAACTCTAGAAAATCACTAGATCAAATCCTGATGGGCATGTCCAAAGGTTTTTTTTTTTCCGCTATTTCAGATGGAAATGGGGAGACAGAGAGAGGTGTGGAGAGCCTCCGGGAGCACACTGCTCCGGGCAGCCCACTACAAGGTAAGGCTGTGCACCAGGGCAGGAGGAGACGGCAGCACGGGCCAACGGGCAGCTGAAAGTCACTGTCCAGTTCGAGGTCAGAGGCCCGGGACATATTGAGGAAGGGACCTGCACCCAGAGGCGGCATTTCGGGGCAAAGGGCTCTGTACTGATCTAGAACCAGGAATTCAGAAGCAATCAGCAGTAACATGGCTTGGAACCCAGAGTAGAATGGGGTGTCAAAGTCCAGCTTTTAGCCCAGTTTCACTGAAGCCAGCAGAGGAATGACCAGGGCAGGAGTCCCAGATGAAAGCGGCGCCTGCAGTCCTGCTACCCTAGGCCAGCAGAGTTCCCCAGCTGGCTGACCGAAGCCCAGGTCAGGAACCTGCAGAGAGACAGCAAACTGGAACACTGAAAGTCTGCGGGTCTCCAGCGTGACCCCAAGAACAACACAGTACTCAATACTCTAAGAAAGCAGCAACAGAACTAGTCCAGACCTTCCCCCAGAAATGTGCAGAGCCCGGTTCTAACATCCAATTCAGTCAGGAAGGAGGCTGGAGGAGTAAGCCAACCAAAAAAGCAAGCCGTGTGAGCAAACCATAAAATCACCATGGTGACGGGGATGCTCAAGACACGAGTCCAGAAGACAATGACTCCAAGACATCCACAAGCAAAACCTCAGAGACAAACACAGCTTGGAAACAAGATGCCCATAATCACCAATATTATTCAATACTGTATTAGAAATCCTGGCAATAGCAGTAAGAGAAGAAAAAGAAATTGGAGGAATCAGAACGGGAAATGAGGTCATAAAACTATCTGTTTTTGAAGATTATATGATGATATACTTAGAAAATTCTAGAGATTCAACTAAAAACCTGGTTGAAATAATAATTTTAGCAAAGTAATAGGACATAAAATAAATCTACATAAATCATCAGCATTTCTACGTATCACCAACAAAACCATGCGAGAAGAGAATAAGAGATACCCCATTTAACATAACCACAGACAGCATAAAATACTTGGATGTATACCTGCCAAGACAAACCCAGGAACTTCATAAACATAATTATAAAACACTTTAGAAATATTAATTGTTCATGGGTGGGCAGAGCCAACAAAAATGACAATTCTACCTAATCTAACTTATTCAATGACACCCCAATTAAATTACCAAAAAATTATTTTATTGAGCTAGAAAAAATAATAAAATTCATTTGGAAGAACAAAAGGTCAAGAATATAAAGGAATTAACCAAAAAAAAAAAAAAAAAGTAAAGGAAGGAGGTACCAAATCCTGAATTGTATTATAAGGTGGTAATTATCAAAACTATTTGGTATTAAGAAATAGAAAGGTGGATCAGTGGAACAGAGCAAACAAATAATACACAGTAGTAAATGACTACAGTAACCTTGCTTTTAACAAATGTAAAGATTTAAGCTTATGGAATGAGAATTCACTATTAAGTGAAAAAATTATTGGGAAAACTAGAAAGCAGTCTGGTAGATAGTAGGTATTGACCAATATCTGACACCATTTAACAAAATGAATATATGACCTAGATATAAAGAGTGATATTATAAGTAAATCACAAGAACATGGAACTTAGTACCTATCACACTTATGGATAGAATTTATGAATAAACAAGAAATAGAATGAGATTCCAAAATGGATAATTTTTAGTCCATTATATTAAAAAGCTCTTGAACAAATAAAGCCAATATAGCCAAGATTAGAAAGAAAACAGATTACTGGGAAATTTTTTTGTACATAGTTTTTCAGATAAAGGTCTCATATCTCAAATATATAAAGAACTTTGCCAAATCTAAAAGAATAGATAACTCAATTAATAAGTGGTCAAAAGATATGAACAGGAAGTTTTTGGATGAAGAAATCAAACTATATATAGTTATATGAAAAAATGATCTAAATTATTTTTGATTAGAGAAATGCAAATTAAAACAACTTTGAGATTCCATCTCACACCTATCAGATTGGCTAAAATGAGTGAAGGGGAAAATGATAAATGTTGGAGGGGATGTAGAAAAACTGAGACACTGACACACTGTTTGTGCAACTGTGAACTGATCCAACCATTTTGGAGAGCAATCTGGAATTATGCCCAAAAGTTATAAAACTGTGTATATCATTTGACCCAACAATACCACTATTAGGTTTATTTCCCATGGTCATCAGGGAAAAAAGAAAAGAACCTGTATATTCTAAAATATTTACAGCAGCTTTCTCTGTGGTGCCAAAGAACTGGAAATTGAGAGGATACCCATCAGTTGCAGAATGGCCAAACCAGTTGTGGTATATGATTATAATGGAATACTACTGTGCTGTATGAAATGATAAACAGGTTGATTTTAGAAAAACATGGAAAGACTTGCATGAAATAACAAAGAGTGAAATGAGCAGAACCAGAAGAACGTTGTACACATTAACAGCAATATCGCTCAAAGAGTAATTGTGAACAACAAAGTTATTTTAAGTATTATAAACACTCAAATCAACTACAAAGCACTCATGAAGGAAGATGCTAGCCACCTCTCTAGAGAAAGAGCTAATAAATAGAAGTATGCAGAGTATGGTTTTAACACACACACACACACACACACACACACACTTCTGTGTCAAATGGTGGCCTTCTCTGCTGCAGGGCGGGAGGGAGGGAGGAAGACAGTTCAGAACTTAAAATGTAACCAAAAAAATTTTAATTTAAAAACAACAAAGAAAAAGAAAAACACAGCTTGGGCACATAAATTCAACTAGAATTCCTGAGAGATGAAAAGTTTTTTAAAAAAGTGCAAAAATATTTGAATAAATGAAATGAGAGTGCTAAAGGGAAAAATTGGAAAAGAAATGAGAGCTGGGGCAGAAAGAACTGGAAAGGGAATTAACAGCTCAACACAAGAGGTAAGAAACCTTGCCTAAGCAAAAACCCTTTGAAAATTCAAATGGAGGGGCAGCTAGGTAGCGCAGTGGATAGAGCACCAGCCCTGGAGTCAGGTGGACCTGAGTTCAAATTGGGCCTCAGACATATAACACTCACTAGCCATGTGACTCTGGGTAAGTCACTTAACCGCAATTGCTTTCACCAAAACAAACAAACAACAACAACAAAAAACAAAACAAACAAAAAATAGAAAGAAAATTCAAATGGACCCAGAAGAAGACAATAACTCCATGAGACAAGAAATATTAAAACAAAAGACTGAAAAAACTAGAAGAGAATCTAAGTTAACTCACAGCAGAAATAATCATTCCTGAAAAGAGAGCAAGAGGAGAAAGACAATTTAAAAATCACTGGATGACCTCAAAGCCATGACCCAAATGAGGGCCTAGGCATCCTATCTCAAGAAATCTTAAAAGAAAATTATCCAGACCTCTTGGGACCAGAGGGAAAAGTGGAAAGAATCCACCAGGTGCCTCCTGAAAGAAATCTCAAAATGAAAACTTCCAGGAACATGGCAGCCAAAATCCAGAGCTTCCAGGCCAAAGACAAAATACCACAAGCAGCCAGAAAGAAAGAATTCAAAAACTGAGGAGCCACAGTTAGAAGCACACACGCAACCACTGCTATAAATGAAGGGAGAACTTGGAACACGGTATTTCAGAAGGCAAAGGATAGGGGCTGACAGGTAAAATGAGGATAATGCTACAGGGGGAAAATGGACCTTTAATGAAAGCCAGGACTCCCAAGCCTTCCTGATGAAAAGACCAGAGCAGGGCAGAAACTCTGACATTCAAACCCACAGGTTAAAAGAGCAGAAAGGTAAATGTAAATAAATAAATAAAAAGGTAAGCATGACTCAACAGTGATAAAGGATCAGACAAGGACAAACTGCTTATATTCTAACACAGGGAGATGATCCATGTGGCCCCTCTGGGAATCATAGACAGGGTCCAAGGCCTGGGAGGGCATCTGTCACGTCTTGATCTTAAGAGAAGAATGGAGGGAGGGGGGGGGGGAGAGAGTGAGAGAGAGAGAAGGGAAGAGAGAGGAGAGGGAGAGAGAGGAGAGAGAAAGAGGAGAGAGGGAGGGAGGGTGGGAGGGGAAGAGGACTATGATGGGGAGGAAAGGAAAGGAAGGAAGGAAGGTTAGGGAAAATGGTTTCACATAATCAGGGTGCACAAGCAGAAGGGGATGGAAGGAGCATCTAAGTTGCTTTGCCTTGAACGGGTCAAAGGATGGAAGAACACACACACACACACACACACACACACACACACACACACACACACAGAGTTGGGTACAAAAATAAATCTCACTCAACAGGGAACTAGGAGGGAAAAGGAAGAATCAGAGGGAGCAGATGAATCTTTCTACATTTTCACCGAGCTCCCACACAGCCCCCTGGCAGCCTCCCCCCCAACTCCCACAGAGCATACGTTTAAGTCCTCTTATTTTCCTTAGATTTGCTGCTCCTTTCCTGAAAGGCAGCTGGGGGAAGATGGTTGAGAGTTGAAATCAAAAATAAAATTAGATTAAGGGAGAGATTAGTCCTAAGCAAAACAAAGTCTAACTAAATACATACAAAAATATGTATAGCTCTTTATGAGGTGGCAAAGAGTGGGAATCTGAGCGGTGTCCAATTGGAGAATGGATGGACACATGACGTCTCTAAGTGGGATGGAATACTACCGTACTGTAAGAAATCACAGGAAGGGGACGGTTCTGGAGAAACTCGGGAAGACTCGCGTGAACTGATACAGAGTGAACAGAACAAGGGAAACAATCCTGTGAAGACAAACAACTCTGATCGCTGTAATGAACAGCTAGGATTCCAGAGGACTAATGATGAAAACACTACTTGTCTTTTTTTTGGGGGGGGGGGCTTTCTGGTAAGGCAAGTGGGCTTAAGTGACTTGCCCAGGGTCACACTGCTAGTAAGTGTAAGTATCAGAGGAGAATCTGAACTCAGGTCCTCCTGACTCCAAGGCCGGAGCTCTACCCACCAAGCCACCTCGCTGCTCTGCTACTTGCCTTTTGAGAGAGGTGAAGGACACAGTATACAGAAAGAGATTTTTTTTTTGGATGTGGCCAATGAAGACATTTGTTTTGCTTATAAATGTTCCTAGCAGGTGTTTTCATTTTCCTTCCATACTCCGGGGCGGGGGTGGGGGGTGGGATAGCTTACTAATGGAAAATAATTTATTTTTAGAAAAACAAATGTTAACTAACAGGTTCACGTGGTTGGCTAAGAAGAAATAAGTCTTTTAAAAGCACCAATCTTCCCAAAGTCACCAAACAATGAGCTTCAAGGCTCTGCGCCACTCCAAACTTCCACATCAGAGAATTTATTCTTTACCTGTACCTCAAACCCACTTAATCTGCTTTTCCATTTACTGCCCTACTTTCTTTCTATGTTGACCACACCTATGAATGTACAAAAAGTTTAACAGTAAGAAACATATTTGGCCCATTTTATGCTGAAGAAAGAAATCCATTGTTCTGCACAGACTTGCAAAACCGGCAGAACTGGCTTTTCCAAACGCCAAGTTTCCCGTGTCTTTTCAGCACTGGGAGGGGAGCATTTCTCCCACTTCAGACCGGAGTCTTCCAAGGGCTCCCCAGGCAGGCATCTGGGTGGATGCAAACTGCACTGTGTGAGCTTGCCCCAGTCCTTCTCTTCCGCCTCAGTTTCCCAGGCTGGGCACTTGAGCCTCCTCTTTCCTCCTCACTTTTAACTTCCCTCAAGGCCTTGTGTTTCCTGACCCATCTGGACTCCCTCATGTATAAGTATTTGGGATGCGCTGGTCTGAAAAGGTGTGAATCCCCCCAGATGCTCCTCCGTGAGAAATGAAATTGATCAGCTTCCCTGCTAACCAGAGAAAGGCCCTGTTTGCACCTGCCGTCAGAGGGGTGAATAGCAGTCAAGGGGAGCAACGTGCTCATGCCCTAGTGGGGCACAGCCTCTGGGCCTCGAAGGTGATTCATGCTGCAATATGTGAGGAAAGGAGCTGATCAAGAGTGATCTGAATTAATTAAGTGTAGCCCAGTGTAAAATTCTGGCACTAACTCCTACACAACTGAGTGTTAGTTGCCTCTCCAGACACAGAAACCCCAGCTAGTTTACTTTCTGCCTTGGCCGAATACTTTGATGTAAAATGAACCTGAAGGTACTAGATAGTGCAGGATAGGAATTAAAAAAAAAAGTTGGAGGTGGCCCAAATGTCCACGACGCCTAAGGATGTTAGCCAGAGCAAGGCACCAGAAAAACCTTGGATGCTTCAAAGAGTTTCCAGTGGGAAAGCCCTCTGAATTTAAAAAAAAAAATGTTAAAAATTGTCTTTACATGTAAATTGGGGAAAAAATAAAATATTACTTTAAAAAATTAGCACTAGTCTGATCCCATTTTACCAAAATCAAGGCTAGTTCAAGAGTCAAATTTAGTTAAGACTCTTTCTAAACTTTCATTGCAGACCCATGGCAACTTCCTACCCATTCCCCATAATCATACTTTTTTTTTGGGCAATTGGGGTTAAGTGACTTGCCCAGGGTCACACAGCTAGTAAGTGTCAAGTGTTTTAGTCTGAGGCCAGATTTGAACTCAGGTCCTCCTGACTTCAGGGCCGGTGCTCTATCTACTGCACCAACCAGCTGCCCCCCATAATCATACTTTTAATAAGTCCTTTTATTTTCCTTAGATTTACTACTCCTTTCCTGAAAGGAAATGGGGGAAAGATGGTAGGGAGTTGAAATCAAGAACAAAAATGCCAGTGCTCCACAACCCTACGGAATGGAGAACTAACCTCAGTGGTTGAAGAGATTAGGTTTTTAAAATTTCTTTGGACATATTTGCATTAATTTCCTAAGACCCCACCTGGCATTGTCCCTCACAGGCCACAACGTCCGCTGCCCAGAATCTAGAAAGGAGGAGTCACCTACCTCGGGTAACATCCGTCAGAAACAGGATGTTGTTGGGGGAGCAGCCGATGCTCGTGGCAATTCTCCTGTAACTTTCACTCTCTATTTTATGTCCAATCTTAGTATCAAAATGGCCATCAAAAAGCTGGATAGAGGAAAGAGAAATGAGGAAAATTAAAAAACCAAGTGAAACAGGTGATCTCAATCATATGATAGTGAGATGGAGTAGATCAAACCACGTGCCTATTTCCCTAGTGTTCCCCAACCCCAAAATGTTACCGATACAATGAAATTTACATAACTATCCATATTCACTAATGGTATGAGGCAACACAGTGGCTAGATCCTCTTTGAGGAATTCTTTTTGGGCCTGAGACCAAGTCACATTTTTCTTTGAGGCTTTGGATAGAGCCGTTTTGACATTTTTGTCTTCTGAGTTTGTTGTGATCTTCCCTGTTACCATAGTAACTTTCTATGGTCGGGTTATTTTTTTGCTGCTGTTGTGTGCTCATTTTTCAGGCCTATTGCTTGACTTCTAACTGTATGTTAGAGTTGGGCCTTGCTCCTGAGGTGGGGGGGAGAGCACTGTCCCAAGCTTTGGGTTTTTTGTGCAGCTAGTTCTGGAGGGTGTGTAAGTTTGCAATTCTTCTAAGATAGTATGACTTAAGGAGAGGTGTGGCCTTCCATCCCGTACTCTATCTGTGAGTAACCACAAGCATTCTTTTCTGCCCTGGACCTGTGACCAGAATCCCCACTCCTCTGGGGGTTTCAGCGTGACTGCAACCTGAAACAATGCAACAGAGTCTGAACCCAGTGCTAGCAAAGGGTCCCCTGCAATCTCCTTCTGACCAGCTGTCCAATCCCCTTACCGTCTGTGAACTGAGAGCTCCAGAAGCCACCTTGGCTGATTCAGCTGTTCTTCCCCGCCCCCCCTTCCCAAGGCTTCCTATTGGCTTTGCTTGCATTGGGCAGCCTACACTGGACTGTGCTCCACTCTCACTCCAGTAAGACTGACCTTTTCTGCTGATCTTCTAAGTTGTTATGGGCTGGAAAACTGTTTTACCCTGTCCTTTCTGTTCTCCTGCTCGAGAATTCATTTTGAGGTGTCATTCTAAATTTGACTGGAGGAGAATTTGAGAGCTCAAGCCAGTCCCTGCTTTCACTCGACCACCTTTGGCTCCAGGCACTGCCCCCCAACATTATCTTAAAGATGAGCACATACAAACCCAGAGAAAGTAGGTATCTTGTGCAGGGACACACAACTAGCCAAGTCTTTCTGACCTGACTGCTCTGTCCACTACGTACCAGGTAGTTATTACATGCTGGCTTAATAGCTGATCTGCTGCGATCTTCTTTGCATAATTTTCCACTCTGTCAGAGTGAAATGCAAACTGCATCTACAACATTGGTACCACACAAACCCATTCTTCCTCCCCCCCACCATGCATTCCAAGTATATCCGGCTCTCCACTCGTCTTCCCCAGACCTCCAGAGAGGATGTGAAGGCAGCTTTCCACATTCTGGTTTGCTTTGTAGTGCTGACTTATACCGTGCAATCACCCACAGCTTGATGGTTCAAGAAAAAAAGCAGGTTGGGGGCAGCCAGGTGGTACAGTGGATAGAGCACCAGCTCTGGATTCAGGGGGACCTGAGTTCAAATCCGACCTCAGACACATAACACTTACTAGCTGTGTGACCGTGGGCAAGTCACTTAACCCCATTGCCTAACCAAAAAACAAAACAAAACAAAAGAAAAAAACAGGTACATGGCTCACCTCGAGTATGTCTCCTTCTGTCGAATAGCCGAAGAGCAGCTTCTGTGCCTCAACACTCCCTGAAGAATAAACGTACACCTTCATGCCTGCTTGTCTCCATTTCCTGATTGCTGGAACCACATCCTCAAAGAACCTAGAAAAATGAGGCAGCTGAGAACCTCTCCGCCAGTCTCACCTCTCGATCAGAATGAGAGTGTGAGAAACTCTTGATGACAAAGAGCAGGGTAGCCCTTACTGCCACGACTTGCCCAGGGTTAGCCTCCCTGTGTCAGAAGTGGGGGTCTCGGTCTCTCCCCCTCTGCCCACCGTGAGGCAGCTGCTGACTCTCTTATCTGGCTCCACTTACCTGACCCCCCCCACCCCGCAACTAAAATGGAGGGAATAAGGTTGATGCCCTTTACTTGGAAGACAGCCCCTTTACCCCCACATGAGGCACACTCGCCCTTCACCCAACTCTGATAATCATGTTGTCCAAGTTGACAGTAGATTAGAATCAGTCAATTAAGAGGGGAAAGTGGCCACTGCAGCCAGCAGATGGACAGCAAGGACAACAGGTGAGAACAGGCTTTGAGTTCATGCCACAGGAGAACCGTGCAAAGGAGGCAAAAGAGCGATATTCAAGGATCGAAGGGCTTGGGGAAGAGGGATTAGCCTGGCTCCATCTGGGGCCAGAAGCTAGAACCGTGACACCGCAGAGAGGTAAACTTAGGCCCCCGTGGTCAACACGTACGCACGCAAGCTAACCTCTCAGTCCTCCTTCATTCACTGTCTTTGATAAATGTGAATCGTTTCCTTTACACTTCTCGTATGTGCTATTTTTAATTGCAATGCAACATTCCTTTACATCGATGAGTTTCTTGAGTCATTCTACTAACGATGGACATTTAGGCTGTCTATAGTTTGGGGCCATTACAAATTATGTGGCTACTGAAAAGAAAGTGGTTTTTTTCCCCCTTTCAGTTAACAAAGTGCACATTTACAATAATCAGATTAATGGGTGAAAAGTTATGATTATTTCTGAAAGTCATGTAGTATATAACAGTAAACTGCATGATAGGGACAGTTGGTTTTCTAAATGCTTAAGTCTTTTAAGACTTAGCACAATGTTCTAGAGACAATTAAAAATGTTTGTCAAATATTCGAATATGCCACTCTTCTGCCAAATAAACCAATAAATTTTGTTTCAACAGAAACGTAATGTAAGTTTCTCCACAACCTCATTACCATGGAATTTTGTTTATTTCTTCCCAATTTGGTGGGTATGAGGCCAAAGTTATTTTAATTTTGCATTTCTTTGACTTGGAAATGTGGAAGTGATTATTTGTAATCTATCTTTTATTTATTCATTTATCCATTGACCATTTACACAGTATAAAAAGAGAAATTCCATTTAAAATAATTACAGAATGTATGAAACACCTGATGATCTCAAGGCACAGAAAGGAATCATATGACTGTAACTATGATACCACTTTACACAAATAAAGATCTAAATAAGTTGGGGAAGATTAACTGCTCGTGGGTAAGCCAAGCCAGCATCATAAAAATGACAGTGCTACCCAAACTGATTTATTTGGTGCCATATCAAACCATCAAAGGATTCAACTGTTGAGCTAAAGACAGTCACAACAAAATTCATCTGGAGAAACAAAAGGTTGAAAATTTCAAGGGAAAAAAATGTAAAAAAAAAAGTACCAGAACTCAAACTATACTACAAAGCAGTAATCATCAAAACAATATGGTACTAGTTATAAAATAGAGGTCGATCAACAGAACAGACTAGGTACGCAATTTTGTTGTTCAGTCATTTCATTCGTGCCTGACTCTCTGTGACCCCACTTGGGAATTTCTTGGTAAAGATACAGGAGTGGTTTGCCATTTCCTCCTCCAGCTTACTTTACAGGTGAGGAACTGAGGCAAACAGGGTGAAGTGACTTGCCCAGGATCACATAGCTAGTAAGTGTCTGAGGCCATATTTGAACTCAGAAAGCTATGTCTTCCTGATTCCAAGCTGACTGCTCTATCCACTATGCTCCCTAGCTGCCTCAGGTACACAATATACAGAAGCAAATTAACCTAGTAGTCTAGTGTTCAAAAAAAAACCTCAAATCCCAAGTACTGGGGTAAAATTGTGACAAAAATTAAGTATAGCTAACACCTCACCTTCTATGACAAGATTAGTTCTAAATGGATACCTGACCTCAATACAAAAGGTTACATCACAAACAAATTGGAGGAAAAAGGATGGAGTTTTCCTTCTGGATTTATGGAGACTTCACGACCAAACAAACAATGGACAGAAAAGCTCATGGATGATAAAATATGCAATTTGGATTCCGTAAAATTAACAAGTTTTTGCACAAACAAAACCACTACAGCTGAAGTTAGTTACTTGGGGGGAACAAACCCTTTGTAGCAAGCATCGAGAGTCTTATACACAATATACATAAGAAACTAATCCAAACTTATAAGAATAAGAGCCATTCTCCCATGGATACATGGACAAAGAATATGAACACGAATTTTTCAAAGGAAGAAATCCAAGCTACCAACAGCCAAATGAAAAAACAATCCAAAATCATTAATAACATGAGGAATATCTCGGAGGTTACTACGCTTCATACTCATCAAGATAGGCAAAGATGTCAAAAAAGGACAATGACAAGAGTCTACAAGAAAACAGATGCATTAATGCACTGCTGAAGGAGCTGTGAACTGTCTAGCTATTCTGGAATAAAATTTGGAACTCTGTCCTTGAAGACACTAAACTGTATATATCCTCTGACCCAGCTATGCCATCATTAGGCCTATACCCCAGATATCAAAGAAGGAGGTAAACATCCTACATTGAAAAAATACACACACACACACCCACACACCCCTGCACCAGAAAACTAAGGGGGTACTCATCAACTGGGGCACCTCTGAACAATTTCTAGTACATAACACTATTACACCATGCAAAATGGTGGAATGGAAGGTTTCAGAGAAACCTGGGAAGATTTGTATGAACTGATTCTGTGTGAAGTGAGAAGAACCAGGAGAATGATTTATACAACAACCACAAAAGTGTAAAGACACCAGTTCTTCCAAGTTGGTAACCTTTGGCATCAGTCATTCCCTCCCATTCTACAGATAGGCTCAGGAGCAGGGGAAGAATGAACTGTGGAATATTTGGACTAGAGAAAAAGAAACTGGGGGAGAAGGGGGAATGGAACAGGACATCACAACCATCGATAAAAATCCTAACAGATTAGATTTGTTCTACTTGTCTTCAGTGGGCAGAACTAGGAGCCACAGGTAGAAATGGTAAGGTCAAATTTAACCTGAAATAACTAGAGCTACTGAAAAGCAGAGGAGGCCGCCTTTGAAGGGATTGAATACCCTCACTTAAGGCTCTCAACAAAAGGTTGGGTAACCATTTAGTTTCTATGTTATAGACAGGATCGTGGCTTAGGTATAGGTGGGTTGGCTTAAACGACCTTGGAAGTCCTTTCCAATGCTGAGATCCTACGACTAGGCAAAATCAGATGAATACTGGTTAATTTCAGAAGGTTTTGCAGCCTTGTTTTATCCCGAAGCCTGAACAGCCCTAAACAGTTCCTATACTGATCATATGCTGTTATTTAAGCACTCAACACGATAAACATTCTTTCCCTCCCACTTCTAAAATTTGCATTTCCAACTGCAGTGGAAAAAATACATCACTGTCTCCGCAAAGACAACTACAAGGACAGCTTCAGTATGACAAAGCATTCAAATTAAGAAGGGGAAAACAACCTATAATACACGGCCAGGGAAGGGAGTTACAGTATGGGAAGTAACCAAGATGGTGACTATAAAAATAGGACAGACCATTGTCACAGCCAGTGGCAGGTGGAAAAGATCCAGGATGCATGGATACGCATGCATAGCCAGGATACGGGACGCCATGGGTGCCTTCCAGGCATGGTCTCCGGTGGTCTGGTTTGGAGGGTGCCGGGGGAGCAGCAGCAAGGGGGATGATGGCCAGGGTGGAGACTAGTAGCTTCCCTCCTCCCAGGAATGGTCCCTGGTCATGCCCGTATATAATAAGATATATCTCCTGCTGAATGATCACAGAACTTTTAAAGAGGTGGGATAGGAGAGGGGAAAAGACACTTCAAAGATCATCTCTCTGAGTCTTCAGATTATAAATGAGGAAACCAGAGAGATAAAGAAAGAAGCCTGAGGTCATGGAATCAGGTATCAGCAGGACCGGTACTGAACACAGACTCCTCAGGCTCAGTCCAGAACTCTTCAAGCCTTCAGAAATCTGATTGCAGATGTGACCATACCAGCCATTCTGAAACTCTGGAGATCTCTCAAGAAGCCAGTTGGAGTATGGACAGCCAGAAACACAACCCCAGATGACACCACACTGACTGCCCAGGCTCGCGTTTGGCAGATAGCAGAGTTTTAAACAGCCTCTGGCCGCTTCTGGGTCCCCAAGCTTATTTTTAACAGAGTCATTCACTGTGTGCTGCTCTATGGGTTTAAATCATGAAGCACCAATCAAGGTAGAATCAGCATCACAGGCGACCCAACGGGCAACAGAAAACCGTACGAAGGGAGGAAATGACCGATGACGTCTTACCAAAGGTCACCAGCACCAGAACTGGTGTCAACGACGCAGCTCCCCGACCAGGTGGCTTCCCACGACCTCTGCCACCCCCCCCACCATTCTGGGGTAAAGCTGCCGGGAAAAGGCTTCCAAGGCTACTTAATAAGGAAATAAATGACATCTGGAAAGCGCTTTGCCTACATCATCTCATTCGAACCTCACAACAACCCTGTTATTATTATTATTATTTTTATAATTATCATCCCTATTTTACAGATGAAGAAGTGGTGGTCCAAGGTCACATAGCTATTAAAGCAGGATTCAAACCCAACTCTGTGCCTCTGAAAGAGGAGAAGAGCCCAATCCTGGAGCTGGCTTCCAATGTCAGTCTGAAAGTTGATGGAGTCGCGCCCCCTTCCCGCCCCACCACACCCCCTTTCTCCAGGCTCCCAGCACACAGGAGTCCGACCCTCCCTGCGGTACAACACTAGCAGAAGAGCCGCACGTCCAGGCAGCGGCTCAGCCCGCCTTCAGCGGCCCTTAATAGGCTGTCACTCTTCATCAACAGACTTGAGGCTGGTATTAACGCCCAGATGCCCAGGAGGCCTGGGTAGGTATGCCTCTGGGGTCCGAGTTAAATGGACACAGCTGCTACCATTGCTTCACAGAGAGGGAGAAATCAAGGAACTGCTCCTTGTCTGGAATAATCTAGGCCACCCCCACCCCCGGGAAACTTTAGAACAGAACAAATATGACTGGCTAGACAGCTCTAGCTAGACACTGACCTTGCTAAAATCCTAGAATTCAGCCGTAGAAAGACAAGACCAAAGCCCCCGGGTCACCTCGGAGCTGCCGCACAACATGCCAGCGGAGGGAACCTAACTAACCCCCTCCGACACCTTGGAACGGGATCCTGAGCTCCGCAAAGGCCGGGGGTGGCAGTCCTGCCCAGGCCTGGAGACAGACAAGGCCTTGAGGACCATCTCAGTGAGATCTGAGGGGGCCAAGACGCCGCAGACTCTGGCAGCGCTGGAGAAATTTAAAAAGGCCCCCGGGGGGAGGAAAGGCGACTGGGGGAGCAGGTAGGCGAGGGGACGGGATACGAGGCCCTTTGGTGGGGTCACTTACTCGGCCTTCACTGTTCCAGCCGCGAAGGCGGCCCGCCATATGTGGCCCTGGAGCTGCTTCAGGGCTGGCGTCTTCCGGTCCAGAGCCATCTGCCAGCAGACGTTGTCCACCACGGCCTGGATCATCTGCTCCGTGTCATCGGCGCCATCAGATCTGGGGGGAATCAGCACAGCTCCATCCAAGTGAGAATCCTCTTCTGCCTTTGAGTCATTTTGAAAAACGATTGATTTTGTTAAACTCCTTTCAAAATGAAACCTGAAAACCAAAGCAGGCACTTTCTTCATATACTTCCAGTCTCATCATCCCAAATGGAAACATATCATTTCCTATTAAAATCAGAAGGTCACGGAAGCCAAGACTTTGAAATCATCCACTTCAATGCTCCATTTTTATAAATGAGGAAACGGAGGCCCAGAGCAGGGCTGTGGCCTCTCTCAGGCGCAGACAGCAGCGGAACCAAGACCCTCCAACTCCGTCCAGAGGACTTTCTACCAGATTACCCAGCTCTCTAGAAGGACAGTACATGAGATATTCCAACTAGGAACAGAATGGTTATCCTTCATTTTCTCCATGCGCCTACTTTAGTAAAGGTACAAAATGTAAAACCACAGACAGTGAGAAGAAAAGGAAAGATGAGAGAAAGAGAGGGAAAGAGGGAGAAAGCGAGAACAAAGCTGGGAGAGAGGAGGGAGAAGTGGGGAGGAGGAAGAGACACAGGGAAGAGGAGAGAGGGATAACCAGGGTGAGCACATACTATAATGGACAAACATTCACTAAAATGAAGGGGCACATGCAGAAACAGAAGGAGCTGTCGTGCACGCTGGGAGCACCCCGGGACGGGGCACCTCGCTGGCTGGGGGAATGGGGGAGGGGGGACACACAAGATTTCCAACCTGTTTTCTCAGCAGACTCACATCCTCTTGACATTCTTCTTCTCCCCAGTGAGCGTGCAGATAGTCCTTAACATTCTCGCGAATGTAGGAAAACAACGTGTCCTGGACAAAAATAATCATAGACAGAAAAAGATGGATTTCAGGCCTAGAAACGAAGTCATGTTTTTCTTCCACAATCTCAGCTTAGCACCAAGACCATTTACCAAAAATGTGACTAAGGTTCCATTTACAGGAGGAAAGATGACCCCCTGAGGAAAAATATCCAAGAAGGAGTACTGTGATCAGAGGGGTTATTTCTTAGTAGTTAGGCTACATATTAAGCTCTCTATCAGAAAAATGAATATATTTTTAAAATTCCTAATATTACATCTATTAAAAGTAGGGATTATATTAGTAGACAGCTCAGTGGGGTCAGGAGGACCTGAGTTCAAATCCAGCCTCAGACACTTCCTAGCTGTGTGACCCTGGGCAAGTCACTTAACCCTGTTTGCCTCAGTTTCCTAATCTACCAAATGAGCAAGAGAAGAAAACTGCAAACCACTCCAGTATCTTTACCAAGAAAATCGGAAATGAGGTCATAGAGTCAGAGACAACTGAAATGACTGAACAACTACAAAGAAGATTCTGAGATCTCTCTGGATTACTAGGATTTTTTAATATGTCTAGAACTCCATCTTGTCGTCACACTGGGTTTGGCAAGTTTTGTTTTACTTATATAGCACAAAACTGTTGTAATACATGACATTTCCCCAGGACGTGGGAATTTAGATTTAACCCACTACTAACCACCTATTCAAATACTGGGCTCCCCAGGGCACGGAGGGAGTACAATTCTCAAAAATGATTCTGGCACAGCTGTAAAAACTGAAGAGGCTACCTGCATATATGGACCCAGCAATCGGTCTGCAAAGGCTCCTTGCCAGTCAACTGAGTGCCCACCAGAGACCGTCCACAGGCCGTGCCAGGGAAGAAGCAGTCACACTGATGAAATCAGAGCTAAGTACGTCTTGGCTACTGGTCAAGTGGTTGGATGGTAAGATGCTGGAATATTTCTCTCTCACAAGACTACAATTCAATGACCTTACACATCAGAGGCCTTGCATAAATGGCCATTTATGCTACAGAGAATACCATATCTCGGAAAGAGCTCTGTTATGGGCACGGTGGACACAGCACTGGCCCTAGAGTCTGGATGACTGGTTAAAATCCGGCCTCTGATACTAGCTGTGACACCCTGGTCAAGCCACTTAACTCTGTTTGCCTCAGTGTCCTCATCTGTAAAACGAGCTGTAGAAGGAAACAGCAAACCACTCCAGTATCTTTGCCAAGAAAACCCCAAATGGGGTCACGGAGAGTCAGACACAACTGAAAATGACCAAACCACAACAACATCAAAGGATTTCTGGAGAGCAAATTAGGCTATGTTACCTCTTGGAGGTTAAGAGGTCCAAGTAGAATTTGTTTCATGATCGAGTGACTGCTTGAATGAAAAGCTTGCACACTTGATAAAAAAAAAATGAAGTATATTTACATCTTCAGACATGGCCACGGTGTTGGTTTATTTTACTTCACTCTACTTCTGTAATATATGGGAGGGTTCTGCTGAAAGAGAAGTCCCTGGGAATGAAAGAAAGCCCACCAAAAAGGGAAAGGTAAAGACTTGGCCATCTTCATAACACAATTTTTTGATTTCCATAACTGACCTAGGTGAAAGCTGATTTTTATCATTTATTAATTTTCAATTACAAAAGTAATTTGTCAAATGCTTCATTTGTTCAAATAATTATATTTTACTGAAGAAAATACACAGAATTGCTTTCAGCCAAACTGGCCGTGAGACCCTCCCCAAACCTCTTGGGAGGCTCGGTGTCTACAAACCTACTAGAGCAAAAACCTGAAATTCACAGCCTCTAGAGCAGTCACTTAGAAATGCAGTGAGAGGCTACATCGACTTCTCCCAACCCAGAGCTGCGTCCATCCAAAGTCAGCCCAAAGTAGTGTCCAAAGGCAACAACAGAAAGAGGCCAGCAGCCTCCCCTCTTGTCTTGAGAGGTAGGGCCTGCAGGGCTCTGGGTTTAGAGGCAGCAAGAGAAAAGGGCTCCCCACTGAGACCGCAGAGGTCAAGAGTGACCTGAGCCACCCGGCAGTGCTCAGGCCCAGGCGCTCCAATGTCTCCAGCACTCTACCCTGAGATGCCATAGAAATGCCTGGAGATCCGTCGCCCCGAACCCCAAAGATGTGGGGGACCTACTTCCAGGAGTCAGCACAGGAATCCAAGGAAGACTGACCAGGGCAGGGCAGAGGACAGAGCTTGGCCCTGAAACAAAGCCCCAATTCAGAAACAAAAACTGGAGACATAAGTGGGCACAGACCAGTATGAAAAATTAGTGTAAATCCAGAGATCTCCTGATGGAAGGAGAGAAGACCTCACTAAGAACAGACTGGATTTTCAAAGGAAAAAATGCATTTTCCACAAGGACATGAAAATACCAAAGACCTGGGGAAAAGGTCAAAAAAAGTTAATTTCTGAATTATTGGATTCCTTAAAAACTATGATTTTTAAAAAAGTTTGTCCACTATATTTCAAGAAATCATAAACAGCACGTCCTGACCTAACACAACTGGAAGGCAGAGTGACCACAGAAAGAGCGCACCAATCACCCAGGAGGGGCGGCGGAGAAGGCCCGGGAGGGTGATGGCAAACACAGCCAGGCCTCCAACCCCAGGCCCCAGGGATGAGTAGGCTGAAGGCTCTCTACAGCCCCTCCCCTGCCTGCCCAGGGCCTGACAGGAAGGCTCTGGTAGAGTCCATTTTCACCTATTTCTGGGCTGGGGGTGCTGGCTGTTTCTGAACAAAGGGGGTGGAGGAATTAGCCGTCCGGCCCAGCAAAGGGGCAGGAGGCACCTAGGGGTTGAGGCAGCTACAAGCGCACCCGCAGGAGGCTGGGAACCTTAGGATTTTCTACCTGCCTAGAGATTAAGAATGGCTTTGCAACATGAAGTCTGGAAGACAGAAGAAAGCCCTCAAGGTGACGCGGCCCCTTCTACTCGGGGAGCTGGGCTGTGGGAGCCGGTCGGGCACTCAGACTTATTCGGAGGATATCACTCCAGAGGCTGGACGTCAGCTGGAGTTCATCGGCAAGGCATTCCCCAACCATCCCGAGATAAGACTGGTGTCTGGCAGCATCCAAAGCAGCTCATCTACTTGGGAGGTTATGGGGGTTTACCTGAAGATAAAACCACCGAGCGATTGTGAATGGGATGAACCGTCTTTTTGAAATCCAAGGTGACCAAGAGGACAGGACGCTTTGGACACAGAAACTCTGACCTGGAGGCAGCTGCTCACTCCAGGCAAAGCTCCCCTACCTTGGAGCCCTGTGGGAAACAAAGGCTTTTGTGCCTCGGGCCAGACACCAGGACTCTGGAGCGAAGGAGCTTCCTTATCCTCATCGGGACACACGGGACTAGAATAAATAAATTCCACGAGATGCAGGCCTCAGTCCTGCCTGGCTTTCTCAAATACCAGTTTCTCCAGATCATTTTTTTCTCTCCAAATGATTAGCACTAGGACAACCGAGTAATGCTGATCTTAACTGGATCCCTAAGAATGAACAGATAATGTTAAGCTCATCTGTGATAAAAACAGACAGCTTGTGTGCATGATGGAGGAGAAAGGTGTTTCCAGTGCAGAACAAAAAAGTTCCCAGAAATAAAGCCCTTGTGTTTTCAGTACACCTAGAGTTTTCCTCTCGGCGCTGAGGCTAGGAGTCATTTGCTATAATGAGGTGTTAGCCAGCTTGGGACCTGCCTTTCAAAGCACTTACTTCACAGGGTTAATCAGAGGTTTGGTAGTAACCACACATCTGGGTCCTAACACTCCTCCCACATCTGGGTCATGCCTCCAATTCTAAGAATAATAATTTCACAAAGCATGTATCATCTTCACAATCTGCAGGGTTCTAAGTAGCGGTCTTCTGGCTTTAATTTGCATGTGAACGGCATAGGAGATGGTTGAATTGTTTACTGAATGCCCCCTCCCAGCTCTGAAGACATGAGGTTTGTATGAAGCAATGCAGAGCAAGGAAAGCAGAACCCCAAAGCGTATTTTCTGATTTCTAGTGCAGAATTCTATATCACATGGCTCCTTGAACTTTTATATTCTAAATGGATAGCCCTGCTGCAAAAATACAGCATTTTAGCATTTCAACTTGAAAACGCTAATTTTTTTTTAACGTGCCAAATATAGCCACCTAAATATTACCCGTCAAAATGGAGGAGGTGGGAGGAGAGCCAGAAATAGAAAAACTATGATGGAAGCAGCAGGCGGTGCAGTGGATGGAGCACAAGGCTTGAAGTCAGGAAGATCAGGGTTCAAATTCAGCCCGAGACACTTAATAGCTGCTGCGTGACCCTAGGCAAGTCACTCTACCTCTGGTTGCTTCAGTTTCCTCATCTGTAAAATGTGGCCCACAGGGTCAGATGAAATAATTATTGTAAAGTACTTCATACAGTGCAAGGTACACAGCAGGCACACTACATCGTTAACTACTGACTGCAGCTGTTATACTAATAACTACAGGTAAAGGATCTGGGTCCCAGGCCTGTTCTGGCCCGGGGAAAATCCTAACCTGTCGGAGTCAGTTTCTTCATCTAAAACAAGCAGGGAACACGACCTCTATGCTGCTGGGATTTCAAGCCAGCTCCTCAGCCTCCAGCATCTCTTTCCAGAGGCTCAGAGTAGCTAATGAGCTAATGAGTTTTCAGCCAAGACCGTTTTTCCTCTAAACAAAGGGCAACAGAGTGCCGTCGTATCTAGCAGAGTAATGTGTCAAACTGAATTTTCTCTAAAAATTGCTATTTCTTACAGTGAGAGCAAAGCCCTCCAGCTGAGAAGCCCCCAGGGGCATGTCTGCAGGGGACCCTGGGATGGGGAGGGCCTGGTTTGGCAGGCTGGTCAAGGAAAACATGCACGTGCCATTGGACCTGGAGAGCCTGGAGAGCAGGGCTGTGTTTTCATCTTTCATCGTGTCCCCAGCCCTTAGCACGGTGACTGGGGCACAGAGCATGACTGATCAAGGCCAAACAAACCCAAAACCTCCAGGGGGGAAAAAACCCAACCTATTTTCTGCATACTTATACACAGGGTTCCTCAAACTGGGTCTGGGAATGGGAGTTTCAAAGGCAACAGTTTCCAGTTCTTCACCACCACACAAAGGGCATGGCCCCACACCCAGGCGCTCCATGACCCCATTTCTGTCCCGGGATGACCGGGCTTGGCTCTGCATTCAAAGCCCTCTCCAGCTGTGGTCCTTAGCTCTTCGTGTGTCCTGGACCCCCTGGCAGTGTGGGGAAGCCTAGGGGCTCCTCAGCATCATGGTTTTAAATGCAATAAAATTAAGTACACAGAATCACCAATTATGGTGGAACGGTTACCCACACATTATAAAGAAGCCATGCCCCAAGCCCTCACCGTCCCCAGGAACTAACCCTTGTGCTTTGCCATCCTGCCTGTGCTCCCACGGTTCCTCCTGCTACTCTACTTCTTCTCCAGAAGTCCACGGACCCTGTTCCAAGCTGGGTCTGACCCAGTTCCCTGGTACTTTGGGTTCAGTATGGGGACAAAATATTCACAGGTCTGACAGTAATTAACAAAAGACCTGCTAAATGAAGGATGTTCCAGGAGGACAGTGGCTGCCTGGGCTGAGCAACGTTCCCTGAAATGAGTCACGCATTGCAATCTCCCATCTAACAGGAAACCTCACCCCCTTGGGGCTGCTTCGTGCCCAGACCAGGCATCGATGTCCACAGCCCAAGCAGTCAGTCCCCAGGGCCAACCAGGCCTGGAGGAAAGCTAGCTCTAGCTAGCTTTCAAGGAAAAACTGGCCTAACTTGCCTGGGGGCAGGGGTTGGGATGTTACTCTTACCACCTACCCTGAGGGGTCTGTGGATAGAGTTCCGGGGGTTCTGTGATCTTGGGTAGGGAAAGAAAAATGACATGTTCCACTATCTTATAACTGAATTTAGGATGTCCATCAACTGTTGAAAAATATTATTATTAGGTTTTATCACACTGCCAAAAGAGTCTAGGATACAAAAAAGTGGGCTCCTGGGAATAACAGACCATTGTTTCTTTCTTATCATAACAGATTCCATCTCCAACTGTTTCTTTTCCCTGCACCAGTGTTCTTCCTTCCCAAGCAGTTCTAGGCTTTAGAAATGTTACAACCGTTCTAATACTCCCCTAATAGGTCATGGTCACATCCTGTGCTGCTGAGGCCCAGCCTGTCCCCCTCCCTGTCCTAGCCTGGACCTCAGCCAATCTTTTACAGACCCCCAAGGCCTCTACGGTAACCTGTGTGTCAACAAAGACCCCTCTGACAACATCCCTAACTCAGTTATCCAACTTTTGTGGGATGACCTCCGGGGAGGGACAAAGAAGCCACCAGCTTTCCAGACTCGGCCTGTCACACTTCTGGATACCTCAGGACTCCCCCGAGCCGCCACATCTAACTTCTCTGCAGCGTCCATCCTCTGCTCCTACATCAGCCCCCGGGGCGAGACAGAACAAGGCACAGGCTGCCCGTTGGAAGGAGCCTCAAAGTGCATCCCGGCCAACAGCCTCATTTTACAGAGAAATTACATGCTCACAAGGGAAGATTACACGTTCTCAGATCTTCTGTTCAAGCCTAGCTGTAGAACAGGGTTACACCAAGGGTGGAAAAGCTTCTGGTGGTCAGGGTGATGATTTAGGGCCTTCTCCTTCTTCTTTCAGGGCTCAGTAGGGCAATAAACAAATGTTTACTGACCGACTCCAACTGAATTTTAGCATTTCTTCCAACTGTTAAAAACACTCACCAGACTGCCAGAGCCCATCCACAAAATGGATACTCCTGGTGCTTCTGAGAAACTATTACAAAAGAAATACAGACTATTCTTTGTCTGGTTTCCGAATCTAATTCGGCATCGCTGTGTTACAATCAGGCCTTTAAAAATGAAACATTTGGCACTCAGACTCCTCGTTCCTCCGTGGGGAAAGCAATTCTCCTTAGTGCATACATCTGTAAAAAGCATCCCACGTCTTTTGAAAATCCTCAGGTTTTCTCATCTTTAAAACAAGGGCCTGGAACAGGTCATATGACCACGGGGCAGGGAAGAGGACTGTCCTTCCAACGAGGCCTCGGCCAGTTAGTGACAAATCACGCTCACGTCCTGACACTAACACGTCAAGATGCCTGGTAAAAAGAACCTGCTGCCGGCCAAAAGGATCTACTCGCTATCAACCTTTAAATAAGGCCAGCCCTACGGGATTAGCGGTCATCAAGTTCAAACACAAACCTTTGTTTTATTCTAGCTAAAGCTTTCTTTCAACTTAAGTAGTTTTGCTTAACTTTTTTCAGGGATGGGGCCAAACGGCAGGGGTGATGCTATCTGCGAGTCCAAACATCAACAGAAAGGTTAAAAAATCCGCTTCTAAGGCAGGGCTCCAGAATGGATTCCAGCATTTATTAAGCACCTACCACGTACCGTAGGTTTGCAGAATGAAAACCACTCTCCCCTGTGCTGCGCACATTTTGGGGGCCGCTGTGTCTACTCTCCAGGACCCCCGTCTGCAGGGGTCTGCCATTTCCTTCTGCAGCTCGTTTGCCGGATGAGGACACTGAGGCAAGCCGGACCTGAACCGAGGAAGCCGAGCCTTCCTGCCTCTGCGGGCATCGTCCACCGCCCAGCCCCGCACACCACGCACACGTGGGCGGCGCGGGGGCGGGGCATCAGAGCTGCCCCCCCCCTCCCCCCCCCCCCCCCCCCCGGGTGGAACCCACAGCACCGCTTCCGCCCTCCCGCTACCGACCAATGTGCGGCGGGGGGCCGGGGCGCCTAGGCCGACCCGAGACTCCCGGGCCTGGCCCGTGCCCAGCCCCTACGTCCCCTCCGGCATCCAGGCCCCTCCCCCACACCCAGGTGCACGTGGGGGTGAGCTCCTCGAGGGCATGGCGCGCAGCGCGGAGCCCCGCACACAGTAGGCGCTTAATACACACACCCCGACCTGGGAAAGGAGGACGCCGGGAGGAGGGGGCCGTCGGGAGGAGGGGTCGTCGCAGGCCTCCAAAGGCCCCAACCGCAAACGCTGCAATTAATCGCTAAGCATTTTTTTTTTTTTGCTTTTGGGCGAGGCAGTCGGGGTTAAGTACGGGCCCAGGGTCACACAGTGAGTGTCAAGCGTCAGCAAGCATTTATTAAGCGCCCGCTCCATGCCAGGTCCCGCCCGGGGGAGAGGCTGGTGCATGGGGAACGGCGCGACCCCACCCTCCCCCAGGGCGCCCCGTGCACAGCAGGCTTTCCCCGGACGCCGGCCTCGCTGCCCCCTCCTTCCCGGTACACAGCAGGCACCCCCTAGATGCTTCTTCCTCCCCACCCCCGGTACACAGCAAGCGCTTGCTAGATGCCGGCCACGCCGCGGCCGCCCCTCACCTTCACGAAAGCAATCGGGGTAGTGGTACCTTCGATATCCAGCAGGATCACGGTCACCTCCGGGGGCACCGAGAGCACCACCATGGCTCCGCCCCGGCTGCGGCCGCTGTAAAGAGCGCGGGAGAAACCCGGCAGCCCAGCGGGAGACGCTCGGGGAGCTCTGTGCGCAGGCGCGTGGGGGCTGGACGGCCGGGGACACGTGGGGCGGAGGGGGCGTGCCCGCGCGGCGGCGGGGGAGAGCGTCGATTGGCCGGCGAGGCCCCGACCCGGAGCGGTCCTGGTGGGAGGGAACAAAGAGCACGCCTGCGCGGAGCGTGGCGGGCTCCGCCGGGGGACTGCGGGAGCGTTCTGGGAGCACGTGCCGAGAGAGGCTTCCCCCTCCCCTCCTTCTGACGCTCCCTCGACCTTCCCCCTTCTCATGTTGGCAGACGGTCCCTCTCCCCCCGCCCCGCCCCCTTTCGCAGCCGAAAGCCTCCGCGAGGCCTCTCGCTCCCGCAGCCCGAGCTAGGCACTTTTTAGGGGGGGGGGGACTTGCTGCGTTGGCGTGCCTGGGGTGGGGAGCGGAAACGCCTCCCGGGCCGCGCCACCTCCGAAAGGCGCTCCCGGGCGCGCACGCTTCCTGTGCCGCTGGTTCCAACCCGCCCGCGGGAGGACCCAGCACGCGTGCGCGCTCGGCGGCTAGCGCCGGCCGCAGCGAGCGGGCGCCTGGCGCAGTCCCCCCAGCCTCGGCAGCGGCGCTAGCTGAGCCCCGGACGGCGGGAGCGGCCGCGCGCCGGGGACCGCGGGAGGAGGAGGAGGAGGAAGAGGAGGAGAGGCGGGGCCAGACAGGACGCCGCCGCGCAGACCCAGGTACTCGCGGCCGCCGCCCGCCCCGCGGCGGGGATCGGGAGCGCCCGGCGCAGCGGCTCGGCCCGCCCGGCGGCGTGTTTTTGTTTTGGTCGTTGCCCCCGCCGCCGCCGCCCCGTGCAGCGGCCGCAGCCGGGAGGGCCGGCCGTTATGGAGGTCCCGCCCCGGCTGTCGCAGGTGCCGCCGCCATTGTTCCCCTCGCCTCCCTCCGCGCTGGCCCCCCGCAGCCTCTCCCATTGGCGGCCCCGGGCGCCCCGGCTGCTCGCCCCGCTGCTGCCGTCGCTGAGTTCCGGCTCCGCCCGGCAGGGGGCGCGCCGAGCGCCGCGCCACGTCACCGCCCCCCAGCCCTCGCGATTGGCGGGCGGGGCGTCTATAAAGGGAGGGCGCAGGCGGCGCCCGGATCTCTTTCGCCGCCATTTTAAATCGGGCTCCATCCAACGCGCCGCCGCTGCGACTGCCTCTCCGCGCCGCCTGCCCCCGGCTGACAGCCCCGCCGCCATGGAGGACGTGAACGAGTACAGCAACATGGAGGAGTTCGCCGAGGGCTCCAAGATCAACGCGAGCAAGAACCAGCAGGACGACGGGTACAGCACGCTTCTTTCCTCCCCGGTGCTCACCTCCCTTGCTCCCGTCCCTGCCCGCCGGGCCTCCGCGGCCCGGGCCTTGCGCGCGCCGCCCGGCCCGCGCGCCGGCTCCTCCGGTGCCGCCTCGGGCACGGGAGCGGGGGGGCGGGGGGAGCCTGGTCGTCCCCTCCCCCTTCCCGCGCGGTGGGGGAGGGGCGCGGGAGCCCGAGGGCCCTGGTGCGCAGGCGCCGCCGGAGCCGGCTGGGGGAGGGGTCCCCGCTACACCTCATGCTGCAGCCGCGCCGCCGCCGCCGCCTCTTTGTGCGCGCCCGGGGGGCGGGGGCGTGTTCCCGGGCCCCCGGCGGGGCCGCCTGCACGGGAGCGCCCGTGAAGGGCCGCGTGGTAAAAGGCGCAAATAACTTTGTTTGCAGTAAAATGTTTATTGGAGGGCTAAGCTGGGATACGAGCAAGAAAGATCTCACTGAGTACCTGTCTCGTTTTGGAGAGGTTGTAGACTGCACGATTAAAACAGATCCCGTCACGGGGAGGTCGCGGGGCTTCGGATTTGTGCTCTTCAAAGACGCTGCCAGCGTGGACAAGGTTCGTGCGCGCCGCGCCGCGTCGCGGGTGGGCGGGCGCCGCTGCGGGCGGGGGCGGCCCCGGGGCCGAGGCCGAGCTTCAGCCTGTCCCCTCTTCTAGGTCTTGGAGCTCAAAGAACACAAGCTGGATGGCAAGTTGATAGACCCCAAGAGGGCCAAGGCTCTAAAGGGGAAGGAGCCCCCCAAAAAAGTGTTTGTCGGCGGACTGAGCCCGGATACGTCCGAGGAGCAGATCAAGGAGTATTTCGGGGCGTTTGGAGAGGTGCGTGCGGGCCCGCGGCCCTGCGCCGTAGGGGAGCTTCCCTCCCGGGAGGCTTGGTCTGGGGGTTTGGCCAGGATCGTTGGGACCCCCGGGAGGGAGCCTTGTGTTGGGCCTGCAGTAATTCCGGTGTTTGAATTTTATAGGGCTACAACACAAACGGGCTAGTAGGACTTCAGAGGCCCTGCTGAGATGGTGCTCAGATCAGTTTAGGAAGATAAAGCTCTCTAAGAAAGACTTAACTCAGGTGTATGTGTAGCTCTTTAGGGTTTGTAGTAGTTTTAGACGTTGATTTTATTATTTTGATTTCAGATTGAGAATATCGAGCTTCCTATGGACACAAAAACAAATGAAAGAAGAGGATTTTGTTTTATCACATATACAGATGAAGAACCAGTAAAGAAATTGTTAGAAAACAGATATCATCAAATTGGTTCTGGGAAGGTATGACTTGTTTTCACTGGATTGTGTGGTTTAGAGTTTTTTAATGGAAACCTGTTTTTAATCTGATAAGTTGGGTGGCAACAGTGTATAATTTGGAGCCTGCGTTAGTTCAGTTTTTTCTTATTTGTGCTTTATTCTGCAGTGTGAAATCAAAGTTGCTCAGCCCAAAGAGGTATACAGGCAGCAACAGCAACAACAGAAAGGAGGGAGGGGCGCTGCAGCTGGTGGACGAGGTGGGACTAGGGGTCGTGGCCGAGGTAAGACCTGGCACTTGATGTAAAGCCTTTGTGAATTGCCAAATCTGAGCAAGCCCAAAAGACTAGAAAATGCTCATATCCAGGGGTGATTTTTAACTTTTTTTTTTTTTTAACTTATTTTTACTTTTTGAAAAGCCAATCTTTTTTTAAGGAATAATTGCACTGAAATTTAGTGTCATCACTAGTAGGATAAAGATAAAGGTTGTTAGGTACACTATGACGTTTGAAATTTCCTTGGGAGGGGGGAGTCCTGTAGTCTAAGTGCAACAGCCCACCATCTATATTAATTTTGTCCTGGTTTTCCATTAAATTTAGGAAGCATGATATTGGCACAATTGGACTTTCTGCCCCCTTTTA